CTAATCTAAACTATATTATCAATTTGAAAAGATCTAAGAGTATTTATCATAATGCATGCATACCAAGGTAAGCTCGGACAACGTCCATGTAAGTATAATTCCTTGTTCCGGGATCTGCGTCCGGCGATCGATAACAATCGGCGAGCATAGTGGACGTGTAGTAATTGATCATGGCAAAAGTGACCAAAATTACGGTTCCTGCCACCCATCCAAGTTGTGCTATAGCCCAAGCCAAAGATAACACACCGGATCCTATCACCGCCGTGATAATATGCGCACTCGCCGTCATTAACGTCCCCGTTCTCTTCTCCCGACCATCGTCGTCGACGTTCTTCACGGCGGTGTTGCCGGACTCAACCGCCGATGGATTGTGCTCTGTGTCGAAGCTTTTCATTTCTGAGAGAAATTAAAACAGAGGAAAAGAGAGGATAAAAGCAGAGTCAGAGAAGAGTTTAATGAAAATTTATATACTGTATATGCACAAACGTCAATGCTGATATGGAAAAACATGTTTTGTACGTTGAATCTTGATTATGAAGGATTTATTTCTTCTGATTTTGATTTTTTTTTTCTTTTTATATATTCTTGATGCCGTGTGACTAGATAATGATATTTTTGGAAACTCTCATAATTTAAATAGATTTGTGATCGATGCTGTTCTAACCTATTGAAAGTCTTAAAAGTAAAGTCAATTTGGTCTTTTTGGCAACTAAATAAAATCAAATCTATCTTTTGCTTTTCTTTTTGGGTGAATTTGATGTATCACTAAATCGGAATAATTTGTAAAAAAAAAAAGAGGATCTGGTTGTATTTATGTAAATAAGTAGTGTGTTTATTGCGCATTCAATATAGCGGGATAATAAAATCATGGTGATTAAGTGGTCTTGTTTTCTTTTTTTCTATATTTAACTCGGTTTTTTCCTTTTATTTTCCTTAGTAATTTCATAGTGAAACTGAAATCAAACAAACTATAAAAAAAAATTATTCCACCAACACACTTCATTTATCAGTTAACTAAATATATTGTTTGTATCTGTAGCGAAATCAAATAAATAAATATAGAGAGCTGATATGTTAAAATCTTACAGTTCAGAACAAAATTTCATCCAAATTAATGTTATATTCACACTATGATAAAACGAACAAAACTATATCAAAAACACATTCTTCTACTATATTTTAGATATTCCTCTTATTCCCCTTGTATTTTCTTCTTAGAGCATTTTTTTTTATTTCCATCATTTTGATTTCAAATTCCATAATTAAATTTTTTATCTTACAAACGAAGATAAGATATGGATTTCCATCAAAATAACTCCTAAATTTTAGTGTATTATCCAATTCATTAATGTTTTAAGGAGATTAACATTGACCACTCTTTAACAAAAAAAAATTAACATTGACCACTACCAAACAGCACTATCTATATACATCGAAAAAAAAAAATTTCCTTTTTCTCAACGACCAATTTATTTCAATCCAACAATTTGTTTTTATACTTGATAAAAAAAAAGGGTTTTATTTCGTCCAAAAAATGTTAACAAGTTGGTGCATCGTTTTGGGCCTTTTTCTCTAAAGATAAATATTACTTTGGGCTCAGAAGGCCAGTCAAAATTAGCGGGTCTGATCCATTTAACGAAAGCAAAACATCAATTTGGCGC